TATAGCTAGGCATGTTGTTATAATTTTAAATGAACAAAAATAAGTGATCAATATTTAATGTGATACTAATTTCAGTTTATAAGGGGTATTATTTTTTTAATCATAAAAAAAAAAATTGAATGATTTTGATGCAATATTATAATATTACATTTAAATAATTATAGATACATCCAAACAAGGAAACGTCTCAGTAGTAACGTATTTTTTCTAACAAATGAAAGCACATAATGTAACAACCCCAATTTTTGTTTAAACTTAAAAAATGCTAATTATAGAGATTTTTTAGTAATAACCAAAAAAATTATTATAATATTAATTTAATTGTACATTGATAACCAAATATTGTATTTTTTATTTTTATTATAAATTATTTAATGTATTTTTTTTAATAGTTGTAAATAAGATTTTGAATTTTTTAATATACCAAAAGCAACATTGTGCAGCTTTTTATTTTCCATTATAATATTAACGGAATTTGGTTATTGCGCACTCTATCTCTTTTAAACCCCGGATGTCAAAACCCTATTAAATCTTGCTCATGAACTTGCAATGAGTTTGTACTTTGTGACTTGCAGACTCGTTGTCTTTTCTCACTACAAGAATTTGTTGTCATCATAGGTTTTTTTTTTTGTCTTCCATTTTTATTTTACCTTCTTTATGATGGTTGAACTGAAAATCCCAAAACTCCATTCCCATCAGCACAATAAAAATGGATTATCATGAAGATAATAAAAAATGGGTTTTACGGTGGACAGGGAGTCACTCCCTCTTGATGGGCCTACTGCCTGTAATTTTTTACCTACTCTCCATGAATCTACTCCATAAAAATTGAGACCTCTCTCTCTCTCCTTTATCTCTGCAGTTTATATTAAATTATCACATCCCAAGAGGCTGAGACCTTTCTCTCTCTCTCTCTTTTATCTCTGCAGTTTATATGAAATTATCACATCCCAAGAGGCTAAAGATCTAATGCATCTCTTTCTCTTTTATCTCTGCAGTTTATATTAAATTATCACATCCCAAGAGGCTAAAGATCTAATGCATCTCTTTCTCGGATGTCTTGCACCCGAGTGTTGTGATGAAATCCTCTCTCACCGCAATTTCTCTCTCAAACCAAATTATCTCGTCTTCTATTCTTAGAGAGAGAAATGCGTGATTTAGGAAGCACTTCACCTCACCTACTTGAGTTTCCTTGCTAAGCAATTGTTCGTTTCAAAGTCTTGGTTGTAGTAAATAGCCATTGTTGGATTAATTTTACGAAGTCTTTTTTAATCACGGTTCTATTGGTATACATACCTTATTACAACATCAAAGTTATGGAAGTTTGAAATTATTGGTAAACAATCAAATAGATACAACAATAAAATTGTTAGGATAATATATTATCTAAGAATATGAAAAGCCAATAAGGCTTTTATTCAAATTTTTTAATATTCTAACCCTGTTTTGTCAAACAGACCCAAAAATATTTGTGTAAATATCACTAAAAGAAGATTGATACTTCGGTGATCTTTGTAAAAGATGAAGTTGAAATATTTATTAAAGAACGAAAGTATTCTATCAATAAAGTTTCAAGACATTACATTTCAAAATATTATTGTATTTTTATAAATATTTCAAAATTTCTCTTACTTAAAATTAAGCTACATAATAAAAAAATATTTAAATAAAAATGAAATTTTAATAAACACACTCATCATAACTCATTCTAATATTAATCATTGTACATATATGGGTTATATTAAGATAATCACATTATAGAGCATCTTATAATTATGCTCAACAAAGTATAAAAATATTTAAAAAAAATTATTTTTTAGGATCCTCGGACTATATGTAGAAATGAGTCCCCTCTTAAAAAATACTTTTTAAGATGAATTTTATACCTAATTAAATTTATATATATAATATCCATCATGAAAATCTTGTTGATAAATTTTAAAACTAAAATTGATAATTTCACCAAGAAAATATTTAAATAGTTGATTTTAAATACCACCCATTTGCATCTATGACGGATGATTTATGCCCGCTTAGGGTTGCGTCCCCCCGACTCATTCAACAATTTTTTATTAAAAGTTCACGGTCAGGATTCTCTCTATCGCTTAGGTCTTATCTTTTTCATGAGGATGCATTGCTCCATGTGCAGGTCTTATCTTTTTCATGAGGATGCAGTGACCCATGTGTGGCGTGCAGCCGTGCAATTGCAATTGCATGGATGGGACGTTGTACTTACAAGGTACAATAAAAAAAAGCTAGGTTTAGAAATAAATAAAATTTGTTTAAGGTTGCAACCTCACACTATTCAAGTACGTTGTACATTCAAAATCCTCTAAGAGAGTGCTCCAACATTGAAGAATGCATAATCGACCATTTGGACTTCGAGATGCCTTGATATGGAGAAAAAAGGAATTTTAAACTAAAAAAATTAGTGCATCTTATAACAAATTATTTGGATTGTTTGTTTTAAGGATTTTGTAGTTTTTATAAATGTACTTAATCCATACCATTTTTCAAATTTTAGATTTCCATAACTCAACATAAAAACGGAGTTTTAAGCTATCCTAAACTTTCAAACAGCAAAATTACATCTCTAAATAAATTATTAGGATGCGCATTACTTCTACAGTATAAGGTGGGTACCTTGTAAAAGTCTCACCCTTTAAAAATAGACACAGCTACGGTGAGTCTGACTCACCTATTACTATGCGGTCTCTTATTTATCTAATTTTATATCCACTAAAAGTAAAAGATGAAAAAAGGAATTCCAAAATAATATATATTTTGAAAAATAAAAATTCCAAATTTAGATTATTGTTGTGGTTGAGGTTATCGAGCCCTAAAATTTTGGATTGAAAATATATTTTTGAGATATATTTTATGGGGAGACCACAAAAATAGTGTGAATGGGCCGACGCACCAAACACTTTTCCTTTAAAAATAGGCCTTATAAAATTTGAAGACACGTCACGTGGTACGCCCGCTTTGAGTGCAGCGGTCCACAGGTGTGACAGGGTGGTGCTGGTCTTTTGCAACAACCTGATCTCGCACGTGGGAGTTAAAAAAATGTGTCTGAGAGAGAAACGACGAATCACTCTGTTGATATCGTGATTTCGAACGTTGTTGACCGCTCGATCCATTTAGAAAGCCGCTTTGCTGATCTCTAGAGACATAAAGGGGTTTCTGCTTTCCAATTTCATCTTTTTATCTGTTTGGAGAGAGAAGGTGAATGGAATGGTGAGAAGGTGTTTCTGAAAGCGAAGGTATGGCAACAACGACTGTTGCTCTGTTTCATTTTAGAGAGAGAGAGCATGAATTCTGTTTGATTCCGAAGCCGATGTCTCTCTCATCTTTTAGAGAGAGAGAGTATTCATTTTGCAGTGCGTAGTGTTTTTTAATTCTGAAGCGAGAAAGTGCGTTCTTCCCTTTCTAGAGAGAGAACGGCTTTTCGAGCGAGCACCTTTTAGAGAGAGAGAGTATATCTTGTCGTTCTTTCTAGCGGGGAGAGAGAGAGAGAGATTTATTGCTCTGTCTGACTCTCCTTTTCCGCACATGGACTGGATTCTGCATACATTTCTATTTTGGGGCCTATGTTTTCATTTTGTTGTTTTTTTTTTTTTTTAAATTACAATCAGCTTCAAAACCACTCCTTTTATGCAATTTACCCAACCTAATTTTTCTGGCACTATTTTTTCTAAACTAACCCCCAAAAGAAAAATTTTCATTTTTCTTGACGAAATTTTTCTTCCCATGTATAAAAATTATTTCGGCCACATGTTGATTTTTGGATGCAGCAGCACAATGCCAAAGCGTACCATCACCGTTAGAGTGCCAAATTGCCCTAAGGCAACTATCGGATCGAAACTGAATACAGCACAATGCCAAAGCGTACCATCACCGTTAGAGTGCCAAATTGCCCTAAGGCAACTATCGGATCGAAACTGAATACTATCGGACCGCCCTTTACATAGTATCGAAGCCCTCAACGCTCTTTAGATAGCGTTGTCACTGCTGATAGTGTCGGACCTCACCGCTCTTTAGATAGTGTATGCACTGCTCTTTAGATCGTATCGTCACCGCCTCTTTAGATAGTGTCGGAGACCTGGAATCAGTCGTCCTTTGCAACAGCCTACTACATACTGCCGGAGAAACTTATATCCTTTCCTTATCCAACCGTCTTCCATTATGAATAGAGGTTTAATATAGCTCCAATCAACGTCTTCCATTATGAAAAGAGGGTTAATATTGCTCCAATCAGCGTCACGTCTTTTACTATTTTATTTTTAATTTTTTTATAAATTATTTTGACATCCAATTTTGAATGTCCAATCATTTATTCAACTCACACTAATGAAAAATATTTAAAAAAATATTTCAAATAAAATAAAAAGACCAAAATACATTTGAATGTTTTAAGAGGTATTTTGATCATTATATTTTATCGAAAAATTATTTTTAATATTTTTTATATCAATGAGAAGATGGCATTTATAAATTTCATATTCATAAAATTTATGTAAAAAAAATTAAACATAAAATACTATGAGACGTTGGATCTAAGATCAAATGGTGTGTTACCGGTAAAATTTACTGTTCGGCAGTTGCAAAGGGGGTCCGATGATAGACGTTACTGGATTGATTTGACAATATTGAGTTTTGGTGATTTATGTAGAGAAGGGTATTTGTGTAAATTATTTTTTGGGTATTTGAATAGAAGATTTGTTGTGGGGAAAAAGTGGGAGAAAAAGTTTACACGGGGGTAAGTTAGATGGAACATGTGGTCTGGAGTTGTTTTCAGTGCTTTTCCCTTTTATAACACTTCCTTATTCTATTCGCCATTGCTTTTCACTGTAGAAAAAAATGGTGAAGTAAGCATTCTTCCTCTATTCATAAAGGATATAGGGTCTGTAAGCAAGTTTCATTCACTATTTTTATGGATTTTGAAGGCCTCTGTGTGTCCCTAACCTTTTATTTTAGTTTTTATTGTAATTTTGTTTTTTAAAGCCTTGAGCACCAATGATCTTGATTTTTCCTTTTTTCCTATAGTTTTCTGTTAAGGCGTTAAGATAATGCATTTTCTGTTAAGGCGTTAAGATAATGCATTTTCTGTTAAGGCGTTAATATCATGGAATGAATATGAATTTAGGTGGTAATAAAGTGGTTTTCTTTGAATTAATATGTTCAGGATATCGTTTCGATCGTGCATTTGAGTTTCACAGTCCAAGTGAAACTGTAAAGAGGTTAGTTATTTTTGTCTATTTTGTAGCTGTGAGGTTTTTATTCATGTAATATATCAACCTAGATCTTTCATGGTCCCTGTGATTGTATAGTCTTTATTAGTAACTGCATGATAGCATGGGTCCTTGTTTGATTTGACTAGGAAGCAGATCTTCATGGATATTTTTTTTGTGAGCTTTTATATGTTTACTTCTTCATGACCTATGCATTGATTTGTCAACCTGTTCATCAAAATGCAGATTTGGTAGTTTCTGAGAAACTAAACATTATTCACTCACAGAATGTCTAAAGCTGGTGCTTTGGATCTTGCCTCTGGCCTTGGAGGGAAGATAGAGAAAGAGGAAGTTCAATCTGCTGTGCAAGAGTAAGCCTTATATCATTCCCGTCTTAATTTCTTTGAAGCTTGGAAAGAATCCATGCTCTCAGTTCGTTGTCTAAGTTTCTCGTTGTTTTACAAATAATTCTTTTACTTTTTATGGCTATATGTATGTGTGTATATAGTCTTTATCCTTTCTTCGCAAGATGGTCATGTTCTTTCCAAGCTTAAATGCTTCTCTCAAATAATATAACACCTATAATAAGTAAATTACTTGCTTGAAACTGATCTGAAACAGTAAATCCCCTGTATAGGATGGAGATATGGATGTTATCTTTCATATAATGGAGAACCGTTATTCTTAATCCACGTCTAGGTCTTTTTTCTTGGTAAAATACCCTAGAAAATTATTTCAGCATTTGATATAAGGAACAGAGCAAACAAACTCAAGCTAATTTTCACTAATAATGACCATAATAAAGCTGCTTCAGGTAGAATTTTTTCACGTTAGAAAGTCTTTGAACCCTGTTGCCCATACCTACTAAAGCATATCAATGGTTTATTTCTTGTGAAATAAAGATCATGTTTACTCAGAATGAAAAATTGAGCCTTGATAACCAGTGGACTTAGATGCCGGCATAAACTGATAAACATATCCCACTTAAATTCCATGAAAATTGGTGCTGTCTCCAAGGTTACTTGAGCTAGATTCATTTGGTTTGTTGTCATAAAAAATTTGTTCACCTGATTAATCAATTAGTCAGGCAGATGGAAACCGCTCTTCTTCCAATACAATAGATCATTGAAAGATTGCATCTAGCATTTCCCATATTAATAATGTGGACCAGGGGATGTTAGATCATAACTTTGTATTGAATAGATTTCAGCATTGACACAATGAAGGTTGTATTGCATATAGTTTGCATCTCATTTATTTCCAATTGCATGTTTTAGTCTTTCAACATGCAGACCAACCCCTTTGGCTACAATCTTGTAGGTATGAGAAATATCATGGTTATTTTGGAGGGAAGGAAGAATCGAGGAAAGCCAACTACGCTGACATGGTGGGAAGACTTCTGTGTATTCAGTTTTATCCTCCTTGTATTTGGTTTCTTTCGTGCTTCATGGTGTTTTCTCATTTTCATTCAACAGAGCTATGATCTAGCCATTGTAGGTGTGACTCTTATAGCATACTATTATATATGTTACTTATGTTATTTTTATGTTACATTTTGATTGTTTATCTTGTGATTTAAACACTCATTATGCATTGATTAAATGTCAATTATATATTTTTATGAACGCTTTTTTCCCTAGCATTAAATATACATAAATTTTAATTAGTAATATAGAGCTTATTTGATATTTTTAGAATCTTTTAATGATTTTTTTTGTAGTAGTTTAACTTTTCATGTTACATTGACTGAAGTGGATTTGTAGTTTTTTCTACCCTTGTTTTCCTTCATCCATGTCACTCCGGTTTTTGGATTTTCTATAGGCTAAATTCTTACATGGAGAGAGTTTGGGGGTGATTTTCTTGTAATTTTCATCGTGTATCATAGATGACTGCTTTGAATATCTTTTATATCTTATTAATCTAGACTATTTTTAGGATGATTGGAATTGTTTAGCTTTTTCTTTTTATCTACTTTTAAGTATGTTCGCTGCTAATGTTGATTCATTCTATGAAGCACAATTATGAAAATTGTTGTGAAAGTAAAATGGAGTGCATTTCATCCCTTTGTTTTCTGCAAATTTTGTCAGGCACATGCTGTGGAGAAGAGGCTTGTTCTTCATTGTATCTAGACAAAAAACTCTCAGAAGTGACTTTTTGTGGATTTTAATCTGTCTTTAGCTCAACTAAAATGGAAATACTTAAAAATATCATGCAGGGATTTTGAATTTTATGTAACTGTTTTTCTAGAGTCGAGCCCAAGTACTCCTAACTCTTTATGCCAAAGGCCAATATAGGATTGCAAATTACCATTTGCCCAATATTGTTTTCAGAGTACATTGGAATGGTTAGTTATTTGCATATGGTGCTGTGAGGCCACAAGGCTTCCTTAATTTCCTTTTTTGAAACTGTCACTGTGTCATGCACTTTTGATGATATGGGGCTTCAATCCATGAATATTAAACTGCTGTAGGTTATTGATATGTCTTGTGCCCACAAAAATCAAGTGGATTCATAATGTCATTTTCAGGTAAACAAATATTATGATCTTTCGACCAGCTTTTATGAGTATGGCTGGGGTGAGTCTTTCCATTTTGCTCCCAGGTAGGTACTTCTATTTGTTCCTCTCATTTGATAAATCTCATTTACCATAACTTGCATTTGACTTATCTTCTCCCTCTCTCTCTCTCTGTGGTTCTTTTCTCTTCCAAATCCCATGAATATAAATTGCACACTGGACATGTTTTTGGATTATGATTTGCCTCGTCAATGAAGCCTAGATAGAATCTTAGAAGTTGGTCTAGTGTAGATGATGATATTGAATATATTTATATGTTCTAGATGGAAAGGAGAATCTCTTCAGGACAGCATCAAACGACATGAACATTTCCTCGCTCTCCAGCTTGGCTTAAAACCTGGAATGAAGGTACTGGATGTGGGGTGTGGTATTGGGGGGCCATTACGTGAAATTGCCAGATTTAGGTACTTTCTGATTTACCTGGATTCACCGATAGTAACTTTAATTTATGGATTATGTTATAATGGAATAAATTTTGAAATAGAATAGTTTAGGGCATAATTATGGCTGCCTTGGATTTTATTGGAATTCTTCCCATGTGTGTATGTGTTTGTGTGCAAGTTTATGCATGTGTGTTCACATAGATGGAGCAGGTGTAAAGTATAAATTATCACATAAATGGAGCAGGTGTAAAGTATAAACTATGTAACTGTTATTTGTGAGCAGGAATACTTCCCTAACTTAAAAGTTGCTGCAGCTTCTTCATACAATGAACATATTGAAGTTGTTGAATTTTAGGGTGAACTCATTCCCTATTCTACCATCCCATTTCCTTGGATTCATTTCCATCCATAGAGAAGCCTATCATTCTTGCTGTTCATTTTCAATTAGTTTATCTTGTGAATCTTTTATGTTCACAGATGGAGTATTTCTAAGTTAGGAAAACCAGTACTTTGTCTTTGCTTCTTTCTTTTGGGCAATTTATTTTTGATGGACTGGGTTTAGGTATGAGTCCATTTTTGTACATTGCATGGTATTTCAATAGCTTTGAATTGAACAAGTATGAGTTTTGTTTTTCTTCCATTTCAGCTTAACCTCCATTACCGGCTTGAACAACAATGAATATCAGATATCCAGGGGAACTGTAAGTATTTCAAATCTCCCCTTGTAAAAGACAGAATTATTTTGTATTTTGTAGAACATAATTGTTGGAGGATATGCCCTTTTGGCCAAACCATTTTTTCTAGAATTTGCTTGTTGCAAACTTGCCTTATGGTCTCTATAAATTTTCCACTCTTTTTGTTATTGCTTAGGTATGCTTATTTAATGACATATAAACTTTTTCCTTATAATGGCATGGTGTTTTATTCTTCCTGTTGTGCTCATCTAGTTTGACATCAAATTAGCAAGATGTCTATTTTACAATGTCATCCTGTCCTCTTTGGATGGCTCCTCGGCAATCAACAAATGGTGTGAATTGGCTTGAATATTTTGTTGTGTATTTACACTAAATTTGTGCTTATATCTTGGTCTCCTTATGGTTTAGCTGCACCGATCCTGTTTTCTAATTGTCTTTCTTGAAGTTGTGCCAGAATGACGTTCATGTATGTATGGTTATTTTGTTCTCTAGCTATTGAAGAATGAAGCTACCACAGTGACCATGTTTTGCTTTAAATGATCGAAACTATATTGTTCTCATGTTTCATGGTATCAATAGGATCAATTAAGGTAGAGATTGGTTACTCACTTTACTGGCATAACTATGTATATAAGGGAGAATAAATAGGCGTAGATCCTACAGCCATGTGGTTGAGATGAAGATCCTCAAACCCTTTGCTTAAAGGCAGAAGACCTACTTGCACATTTATAAATATATGTTTCCTATATGTCTGTTGTGGCAGTGATTTGTGGTATGAAATATGATGTATGCTTGGCTTGTTCCAAGTATTCCTCTTGTGATATTTAATCCTATAATTAGTGAATTTATCTATAACCTAATCCATGGAAGGTATCTATGTGGCTAAACATGTCACTTAATTGGAGCTGCTATGATTGATTTTATGCATCCTAACAGTTCTATCCACGTGGAATATTAGACGAACTGGATAAGCTACTACCCCTCTATCTACATAAAATAATGATGAGTTTGTGAGTCATGAATTACAACTTTTTATATACAAAATTTGAAGAAAAGCAATATAGTGAGATCTGTTATTGCTGCATACTTATCCCCTACAGTAGATATGAGATGTAACTTCCGTTGCTGAGGTGTCAAACTCTAAAGTTTGCATAGTGTGCATCTAAACATTTACATCAAGAATGCACAAATATTACTAGAAATATTGATGCAGGACTAGAGGGGCTTGACTACTACATGAGTGTCATACTTGAGGTAGGCTTAAAAAGGAAAGGTTTGGGGTAGGTTTGAGAGTTCTAATGAGGCTAGGATTTAGGAGTTCTAAAAGGTTTAAGTTTCCCCTGAAGTTTAGGACAGCAGGGTTTTGGATGTATTGAGGTCTCCAACTATGAGGAGAAATGCATGATAGAGGTATAAAAGGGCTAGGGCTTAAGCTAGGTCTATAAGAGATGGTTTGGTGAGGTTAAAATGTTAAAGGTTTCTGTTAAAGGGTTTAATGGATGTTAAAATTCCTGAAATTTAACAGCCCAGCAAGTTACAAGAATGAAAGGCAGGCTTCTAGGGTTGGCTTTGGGATAGAAACGATCAGAGATGGATTGTACATGGGTAAGCTTTGTTTAGGGCTTTGTTTTCCCTGGGTTTAAAGGAGCATTTGGCGTTATCTAGGCGGAAACTATTTGGCGGAATAAGGAGAGAAAAGATGAATGAAGAAGAAAACTCTCACTTGTATAAAGAGTCAAACCTCAAGGAAATTAAGGGGCCCAGAGTTGTACTGGCACCGACTCCTAAAACAAGGTTCATGGATTCAACACAATTAAAGGAGGCATCGACAACTTTGGATGGAATCGACACCATTAAGCAAAGAAAAATTCTCAAATCAATTTCATCTGGCTGGCTATGGGCCTATTACATCTACTTATAATAGTTATGGACTCGTTATCTAGCTTGGCATGGACTCTAAGCAACCTTGACTTTCCTAAGAAAACTAGCTCTCAGATTAGGAAAATCATGAATTACGAAAATCATGAATTCTTTATATACAGGAAACCAGCTCTCATCACAAGAAGGAAACTTTCACTAAAATAAAGAACTAATCCTTATGAACCAAACAAGGAATGTGACTCTACTTCTCAAAAGAAATCAATCATCACCATTCTCTCATTTATGGTTGATCTCCAAATAAAGATCTAATCCTTATTAACCAAACAAGGAATGTGAGTCTACTTCTAAAAAGAAATTATAACCAAACAAGGAATGTGACTCTACTTCTAAAAAGAAATCAATCATCACCATTCTCTCATTTATGGTTAATCTCCAAACTAGGTGATGATTGTTTCTATGCTAGATTAAGGAATTAAATAGTTCCATTTCCTGGACTTATGGTTCTGTTTGTATTGTATTATTGTTGCAATGCAGGTACTAAACCGTATAGCTGGAGTGGACAAGACATGCGACTTTGTGAAGGTCGGCTTCTTGAAAGAAAGCTTATCTTAGTTCTTGTATGTGAGGGCCTTTCTATCTGGACGTCTAACAACCTTGTATTTTTCATGTTGCAGGCTGACTTCATGAAAATGGGATTTCCTGATAATGCCTTTGATGCTGTCTATGCAATTGAGGCCACCTGCCATGCACCAAATGCTGTATGTGCTACTGATTTTTTTTTGTTGTGCATGTTGCTGAAATTCCCATCCTAATGTTCTTGCAAGATTTTATGATATTGTTCATGTGGATTGCAAAGGATTGTATCAACTAATTGTTTTCTAAAAATCAGGTTGGATGCTATAAAGAGATCTACAGAGTATTGAAGCCAGGTCAATGTTTTGCTGCATATGAATGGTGTATGACTGATTCTTTCGACCCTAACAATCAAGACCACCAAAAAATCAAGGTCTCTCTTTCTCTCTTTCTGCATGTATTTGTGTGTGTGTGCCCGGGAAACACTACACAATAATGTAATTTCTTTTACATTGGTATCAAAAAGGAGTAAAAAAGGTTTGATCGTGTTTCGTGGTTCTCTTTGTGCAATTTTAAGGAATGCCAGAACCAGAAAACTTTGATCAAGCTCATCCATGTCTTGTATGTTTGTATGTGTGTGATCAAGCTCATTAACCATGTCTTGTGTGTGTGTGTGTGTGTTAGAGAGAGAGAGAGAGAGAGAGAGAGAGAGAGCGCACTTGTATGCTTATGCTTGTGGTTGAGAGAGAGAGAGAGAGAGCGCACTTGTATGCTTATGCTTGTGGTTGAAGGAGCAAATGATTTGTTTGCTAATGGGCACATTCATGTGTGACTCAATATGCATGGTACTGTGTCTACAGTTTCATGTCCTTGTTTGAATAATCTTTCTGAATCATTTAGTTCTTGAAAACAGGCAGAAATCGAGCTTGGTAATGGCCTTCCCGATGTAAGGTCTACTGGGCAGTGCCTTGATGCTTTGCAAAAAGCTGGATTTGAGGTGAGGACCCTATTCTTTACATTTCAATCTTCTATTGATCTATAAGGACAACTTAAAATTTTGCTCCAAGATCTTCAAACTACAAGATAAAGGTTTCTGTGATTCTGAAAATTTTGCTAAAATGTCAATGAGTTTTTTCAAGAAAAATAAAAGATAGTTTTCTTATTCTAACTTTATTTCCTTTATTAACTCATTCAAAAGAAAAATGTTGGGGAAATATTCTTCCCTAATTTCCTGATACTCTTCGGAATTTCTTGAAGAAAATCAACATCTTTTAGATTTCCCTGAGATAAAACTTTTCCGTGAAATTATTGGAAGAAGATTATACAATATGCGCATTATCAAAAAAAAAGATTATACAATATGCTCCTAACCACCAGGTAAAACAAGGAAACCCAAGAAGAGAATTCTTTTGTTTAATGTGTGAAAGAAGTGAAAAGTAAGAAGGCCTGTTATTTGATTTGATCAGTGTTTCTTTTTTACAGGTGTTGTGGGAGAAGGATCTTGCAACTATTTCACCTGTAACTTGGTACCTTCCCCTGGACGCCAGCCACTTCTCTTTTAGCAGCTTCCGTCTAACAACTCTGGGTCGGTTTGTGACAAGAAACATGGTAAGGCATGCCATACTATTTTCTTAATCAAAAGCTTTTTAAGCATTTTATTTTATTTTTGTTTTATATACGTGTGCTTGTTCTTCTTTTCTCAAAGTGTCCTACTTATTCTCAATTTAGGACCTGAAGTTTTCCTTGTACATACCCTAGTGTCCTACTTATTCTCAATTTAGGACCTGAAGTTTTCCTTGTACATACCCCCTAGTGTCTTTTCTTTCCAAGACAAAAAGTGGAACCTAGTAAATGCAACATGTGAGGGCTTGTTTGGCTCCATGAGTTAACAAATCCAGGTTTTAAATCAAAACCTTATGATGTCAAACCTTGGTTATGTTAAAACCTGGTTACTCAAGTAGGAGTTGTTTGATTGCCTTTGCATGGTACCCAGGTTATGCAAATCTCATGTTTGGATTATTTTTGTATGACCTGGTTTGCTATTATGGGTTGTTTGGTACGCGTGAAAGTTTGATAGGAAAATATTTACATGAAAAATATTTACATATACAAACAATTTACAGGAAAGGAAGGAATCGGGCTTTGGTCAAGACAGTAGAGGCTGGTTTTCATAGCACAACGTCTCAAGTTCCATTCCTATGTAACCTTGTTAAAAAAAAAAAACAATTTACAGGAAAAGAAATTTACATGAAAAGATTACTTAAGCATGTTTTTTCCTATGTTTGGCAAACACAATTGGAAACATGCACACAGAGAGAGAACACAACAAACTTGAAATTTTGAGATAGTTTCTCTCTCTAAAAATTTGAAATTTTAGATAGTTGACAATATCTCTCTCCAAAAAGATAGTTGACAATTTCTCTCCCCAAAAAATCTGAGAAAGTTTGTCTTTAAAAAATTTTCAGGTAGTTTCTCTCACTAAAATTCTAAGATACTTTCTGTCTCTAAAATTTAAAATTTGAGATAGTTTCTCTCCAAAAATATTGAGATAGTTTCTCTCTAAAAAAATTCAGATAATTTCTCTCTCTAAAAGTTGATATAGTTTCACTATCTAAAATTTTAAGATACTTTCTCTCTAAAACTTGAAATTTGATATACTCTCTAAAACTTGAAATTTGATATAGTTTTTGTCTCTAAAAAATTTCAGGTTGTTTCTCTTACTCAATTTTCATATAGTTTCTCTCTAAAAAATTTAAGTAGTTTTTCTCTCTTAAATTTGATATAGTTTCACTCTCTAAAAGTTTAAGATATTTTCTCTCTAAAACTTGAAATTTGAGATAGTTTCTCTCCAAAAAATTTTATGCAATTTCTCGCTCTAAAATTTGATATATTTTCTGCCTAATTTTAAGATACTTTACTTAAAAAAATTCTCTAAAATTTGATATATTTTATGTCTAATTTTAAGATACTTGTATAAAAAATGTGATATAATTTCTGTCTCCAAAGTTTCTCGTTGTAAAAACTTTCAGATAATTTTTCTCTCTGAAATTTAATAGAGTTTCCCTCTAAAATTTTATGATACTCTCTCTCTTTAAAACTTGAAATTTGATACAGTTTCTCTCTCTAAAAATTTGAGATCTTTTTTCTCTAAAAGTTTCAGTAGTTTCTCTCTCTAAAATTTGATATGGTTTATCTTTCTAAAATTTCATGATACTTTCTCTCTAAAACTTAAGATTTGAGGTAGTTTCTTCACACTTACTGGAACGTAAAGTGCTGTGTCTGTCAGTCAAACAAGATGTAACACTCATCACTAACAGAATCGGAAGCTGTTAAATCCTCATATCATAAGTTTTGCTTGTGACTGTCCTAGAGCCCCTTTGTTTGGTATGCAACCTACTGCTCCCTTATTTATGATACCCCCATGAGAATGGGCAGAGGAGTTGCACATGATCTTCAGTAGTTTCTCTCTTTAAAATTTGATATGGTTTATCTTTCTAAAATTTTATGATCCTTTCTCTCTAAAACTTAAGATTTGACGTAGTTTCTCTCCCTACTTTGTGGGTATGTTTTGGCAGAATTAATTGTATTTAATAAAGTGGGCAGCTCCGATGTGTGAAAATTGTATTATCATTAGTTGTATTATATTTGTATTCCCTCTCTCGTGCATGCAAAGTCATCTTTTGGATAACCTAACTTTTATTCTTAATTTTGTGTACCCATATTTTGGCCCCTCTTTCTTGCTTACAATAAACATGATTTTGTGTCAAAAAAAGTTGCCAAACGATGTATTTTATGCAAAATACCCTAGGATCCAAATGACCCAAAGGCTCTAATTTGTGCTTTTTAGGTGCGTTTAGAACTTTGGAATCCTACAACTTCTTGTCAAGTGGTTGCTAAAATGATGATTTCTTGCATTATTTGGGTTGAAGAGCCTCACAACTAGTATAGTGTCCACGAGTTATCTGACTGTCAGGACTGAACTTTGTGGCTGTAGCCACACCTTAAAAGGGTTTTTCTACTATTTGCTAACATAATTCTCATATGCAAATGCATTTGTCAAGGGGTTTGCTGTTGTAGTTACTTCAACTGACGACCGATATTCATTTGCCCTCACCATTTGCTCCAAATTGTTTTGGGTGGGGATATTCTTCTGTTTTCGAGCGTGTGAATCAAAAAGTTTGATTGATGTGTTTATGACCCATTAAAGCTGAATTCGACATAACAACTGTTTGTAAGACCACTACAGTAGCCCACATACATGTAATTTCAGAGTTGGCTTTAGCCTTGACTAACCACAAAATTACACCCATCGAAGATATTTTTCTCTTCAAGGAAATATGGTCCCATATTATGGTGGAGGGTAATGAAATGGGGAATTTAGGAAATTCTAAGTGGTTGTAGCTTATGTAAGGAATGAATTTGAATTTATTCTGCTTGGTTTTATAGGACCTCTAGTCACTCAGAAATATTCGAATTCTATATGAACTGGAAGAAGATTTGAGATAGTAACATTTCTGTATATTTTATAGGTCAAGTTTTTAGAGTACATCGGCGTTGCTCCCAAAGGAAGCGAGAGGGTATCTTCTTTCCTCGAGAAAGCAGCAGAAGGTCTTGTTCATGGCGGAAAGTGAGCAATGATCAGAAAGCCCATGTTTCATTCCAACATTTTATTTTATTTTTAAATATGCTCCACCCATATTTTTCGAGTGAGATTGTTATATGCTATAGATATTGTAGTATATGATTCTTTTTTAATTTAACATATTTCAATTTTAAGATGTAGTGTCGGTTTTGTATGTTTTTCAGGAAGGAGATCTTCACACCATTGTACTTCTTCTTGGTCCGAAAGCCTCATGCCCAAGAAGTATCTTGAGCGATAAACTCGTTCGAATGAATGAATGGGCAGACATGGATCCCTTTTTTGTTCTTCATGGGTGCGTTTATTGGGAAATGTTAGTGGATTCTGGTTTGACATGGAACTGTCATGGGCATGTTTCGCTTTTAAATGAAATTGATTCCACATTTTCTAAAAAAAGAAAGAAAGAAGGGATGGTATGTTATGAGATCATTTAATTTTCGTACAAAAAGGCTACAACTTTTTTTAGCTGATGGATGTGAAATTTAGCATATTAAAATGTATCACAGCTTACGAGAATATTTGTTTTGGACACTATTCAATTAGAGTTACATTATCACTATCTAATTTCACATCCAATGGTTGACAATGATTGTGACCTTCTTGAATAAAAAATAAAATAAATTGAACATTTTCAAAAAATTAATGTGGTTTAGTGTTAGGCTGCCCACCTAAATTCACTGAAAAGTTAAAACTCACTTCAAACTTATGGAAACTGTTGAAATTTGAAACTCACGCAACTCATTGAATTCTTGCACTCTGAAACATCATACCTCTGTCGACAATCGCTTCTCTCTCGATCCCGTTATGCTCATTGCTTCGTAACCGCCTAAAGCCTTCGCTAGAACCGGAATCAGGGCTTAGGGCCTCATCATGTTCTTCTTGCTATGGCTTAGTGGGGAGTTTCAAATGTTTTCATCTGCTCAAATATTTCTTCAAAAGAAACCACCACCTTCCCAGCTTTGTAAACGCCTTCTGCTGCAACTATAAACCACTTTTCCAGTTGAAGTAAGCGCCGTTTGCTGCAACTGCATTGCCCAAATCTGTAATCTTGAAAAAACCCAATTATACAGCTTTTTAGGTCTCTCTCACTCTTAACATCTGAACCTTTTGAAGAAACCCATATTTTAGAAGGCTCCTCTCTAAGTGCGCGTTTAATTTCTACAAACCGCATCTTTCTGTTTTACAGTAAAGTGGGCAAGGTGGCCCAGTCCGACCTTAGAACACTTGGGCCGGGGCCACAAAATGTAGTCCGAGGGCGGGCCGGGCCAAGCTCAGAGCAGGCCGGAGCTAAGGCTGCAACAGGGCTGGCCTGCTTCGTCCCTGCCTAACCTTCTTTTTACTTTTACTTTTTTCTTTATTTTTTTGACCTTTTTATCTAGCCTGGCCTGCCTTGATAGGGCTAGGGCTGGGCCAGCTGCAGGACCTCTGTGGCTTGGTTAGGGCTAGGCTGGCCTCGCCAGCCTATACGGACTTGTGCAGGGATAGGGGCAGGCTATACGGACTTGTGCAGGGACAGGGCAAGGTTGGCCATGCCCGTTGCCAGCCGTACCACTAGCCTCATATTTAAGGCTAAACCGTGGATACCGTCAGCTCTATGGGGGACCATGGAACGCCCTAGCGCACAATTAGAAAATCCTTTCCCCAGGATATTTTGATATTTGGATTTATGTTTGGAAAAGCCAAAAGATTTTATGCTCTCAAGAGAGCATAGGGTCTGTTTACTCTCTCGAGGGAAACTATCTTAAATTTTTATAAAAAGAGAGTGACTATCTCAAATTTAAAATTTTAGAGATAGAGCAAGTAAAAATTTTTAGAGAGAGTATCTACAAATTTTTAGAGGTAGAAACTATCTCAAATCTTAAATTTTTTAAAAAGAGAAGTATATCAAAATTTTTAAAGAGAGAAGTATATCAAAATTTGTAAAGAGAGAAATTATATCAAATTCTAAGTTTTAGAGAGAGAAAGTATTAAAATTTTAGAAATAGAAACCATATCAAGTTTTTTAGATAGAAAACTACTTGAAAAATTTATCGAAAATTTTATCAAGAGGGAAACTATCTCAAAATTTTTAAAGAGAGATACTATCTCACATTTTAAGTTTTAAAGAGAAACTACATCAAATTTTAGAGAAAAACAGTATCTAAAATTTTTAAATAGGGAAACTATATCAAAATTTAGAGAAGTAGGCAAAAAATTTTAGAGATAGAAACTATCTCAAATCTTAAGTTTTAGAGAGAGAATGTATTTTTAAAATTTTAGAAAGAGAAACTATAATAAATTTTAGAAGGAGAAAATTTTAGAAAATTTCTAGATAGAGAAATATCTCATACTGCTTCAAAATTTAAGCTTTAGAGATAGAAAGCGTATTAACATTTTAGAGAGAGAAACTATTTCAAATTTTAAAAAGATAATCTATCTCAAAATTTTAGAGAAATAAATTGTCTCGAATTTTAAGTTATTTGTTGATTGAAATTATCTCAATTTTTTGAGATTGAAATTATCTCAAATTTTAAATTTTAGAGTGAGAAAGTGCCTTCAAATTTTAAAGAAAAAAACTACACATATCTTAGAGAGTGAAACTACCTACAACTTTTTAAACAGGAAAATAATATCAAATTTTGTTATCAAAACAATGGACATAGAAATGATTGTAAAGGATCCATAAATTTTATATAGTTTATACAAATAAAATATTTGAAGAATCCATGACAAGAATACTTGATCCTCAAAATCTATAGATTTTCTTGGTCTCCAAATATCCAAAATTCTTAATTTCCTCTTATCCAACAGACCCTAAAAAGGAAATCCAAATTTCTCCCAAGAACCTAGAATCCTGAAAAAACCAGCTTCCCTTTTCTTCTTTAAACTACCAAGGAAACTCTCTTTCCCTGCATATCGCCAGAGGCAAAAACAGGCAAGAGTCGGAGGTCGCCACTGTTTTGAAAGTGCACCTTAATCGTATGCGTGATCTCAACATTCTTGTTTCTTGTATTAACCCCCGTTGAAAAGTCCATAAAATTTAGATGAAACTTCCTTTTTCCTCTCTCTTCCCCTTTGTAGTTTTAGTTATGAGGGAACACTTTCTCCCTCACTTTCTCTCTCTACTTGCTCTCCTTTACAATTTCTCTCTCTACTTGCCTTCCGTTTGTTACCTGTCCTCTCTCTATCTTTCAACAGAAATATTTAGAATTAAATTTTTTTGAGGGTCTGGCACAAAAAAGTGTCGGACTGCACCATTAGTAAGCTATTGGCCCTGTTTGCGATCTCGAATCATGGCAACAAGGATCATGTCCGAGTCATTTTCGCTCATTTCAAAAACCCTCTTCCATTAACATATGACACTATGATCACAGGCTTTTCTCAGGGACCTGAACCAATAAAAGTTATTCAAACGGTCAAGCAAATGCTCAGTAGTGGCATTTATCCTGATAATTTTACCTACCCATTTGTGATCAGGTCTTGTGCAAGCCTTTTTCACCTTCAATTGGGGTTTGAAGCAGATGGGGGTTTTGCACAGATCCGAATGCTGAAATTGTAGAGTTCTCTGTGAACAATGACAGTGAACGGTAGAGAGAGAAAAAAAGAGAGGGTTCGTAGATAAAGAGCAAGAGAGAGATAGAGAGGGGGCTGGCAGAGAGAGGGCAGGTTGAAAGGAAATTTGGGTTTCAGGAGAGAGAGTTCCCGCGTAGTGAGAGGAAAATGGGTTTTTCGATTGAGAGAGAGAGAGAGAAATGGGTTTTTTAGGTAGAGAGAGAGAGATCGGGCATAGATGAAGAGGAGATGCCTAATAATACGAGATACATAACGTAAGCGAGGAGAGAGTGTAAGGCCCATATAGTTTGAAATTTATTTATTTTTACCAAGGTAAATACAAAAAAAAATATTGTTAGGTTTAGAGTGTCATACAAAAAATATTGGGGATAAGATGAGTAAAAAGTTTATTTTGTAGTGCATCATGTAATGCATTTTTGAACGGGTAATTTTCAAGATTTTCAAGTTTTTGTAGATCTGCTCAATCTACATTATTTTTTAAGCTTTAAATTTTATAATTTGAGATAAAAATATGCTTTTAAAGCTATCACAAATATTTTTCATATTAAAACTATATTTGTTGATACTATTTGAAAGGGCACTTGATACTATTTGAAAGTGCGCTTTATTTTGATTGTTTAGAGCCTTGGCGTTATACAAACCGCAACTTTATTGAGACTAATTTTAATATTTTATTGTTACTCCCACCAATGACATGGACTTTAAAATGCGAGCTTACTAGTAAGGGGTTACATGCAAATAATAATAATGTCAATCCCCCATGCTTTTGTTTATATGACTTGTGTACGGAATATTGGAACGTGTAATAAAGTTTTTCCGGCGAGGTTCGGACGACGACTTTCTTAGTGATCTTTTTTTTTTCTTTTTTTGTTTAAGTGTGGCTACTATAAGATTGCAATCTTAAACAATTCAATTAAGGCATACTTCCAAATTTTATCATAATATGTAATTTTAGTGTACAAAATTATTTGGATCATATGAAAATCCATTTTTATATCTAATTATAAAATTTTAAACTTAAAAAATGATTAAAATCAAGTAGATCTATAAACATATGAAAATCTTAAAAATTGACGGTTTGGATAATGTCTTGTAAGATGCACTATTTTTGGGACTCTAAACGTTTTATTTTTTTTCATATTCATACATCTTGATGTCGAGATGGTCAGTTAGATGGTTTTTCAACATTAACATCACGATATCGAGATGATCAATTAAAGAGTTTCAACATTAAAACGACAATTTCTGATGGAGTTTTGTGGTGTTAACTTTGCAAACTTATATAAACTTTTTCCTTTTTTTTTATTGAATTATAAAACTGTTTCGTTGGAAATGGAGCACACATTGCGTGCAAGGCCCACAATACAGGCTGGTCCACCAATGATTTCCATCTTTTCTGGTACAATAATTGGATTGAATATAGGGTGTAAACTTTATACTATAAGAGTAAGGTGCACCTAAAAAACACATCCCAGAAGGTTGTTTTTATATTAGAAAACCCTCATATCGATCGATATAGAGATTTATAGAGAAAAAAAAAGGGATTTCTAATCCTAAAATAGTTCATCTTCTAACACATTATCTGGACGGTCTATTTTCAAAATTTTCAAATGTTTATAGATATGCTTTATCGTCACCATTTATGGAACTTAAAATTTCATTATTAGAGGCAATAATAGATCTTTCATATCATCACCAACTCTTTGTGGCACTGAAACTGCATCATTGTGCAATTTTGAGGTGCACCTTACTTCAATAGTATAAGGTCCAAAATATAATGCTAATGCTTACTCATTAAAAAAAGAAAATTGTTTCATACGGGACAGGACCGCATTTCTACATATGTGGTTAAGAAAGTGTAAAGCATCCATCTTAAAGATGGATGCAAGTAGGTGTTCCATCTACAAACAATGGAAATTAATGGTCCAAATGTTTTTTATTAGAATTATTATTTTTAGTTT